CATGCGGCGTGGATTAAACGTCGGCGGTTGGAGGTGTCTGAGCTCGCAAGAGATGAGAATGTTTCGACTGCCGAGGCAGTGAGGCTGGCGACGGAGAAGGCGGGGTCAGCATGGCAGCCATCTCATGACAAAGAAGAGACGTGGCAACGTGCACAGAGGCAGATTCGGTTTTTGGAGACTGCAGACCAGGAACTCGTTCCTGACACCATCGACGGTAACTTGTCCACCCTTGTCAACGCCTACAGGGCCCATAATGACAAACTTCGAGAAGGACGGAACAGAGCTGACAACGCAAAGGGACGTCTGCTCTCGAAGTCTGGAGCTATTTCAGTGTTTGGATGTCGAGTCCACGTCGAGAAGGATATGATGGAACCCAGTGAAGTTCAGGTTGCCTTGGGCAAATTTCACATGAGGCGGGCCTCCGTAGACGTTGATGTTGACATGTTTGTGGTCAGCAACATAAGCAATGTTGGCATCCTGAAGTCCTGGTGTGCGCTTTGGAATGGAGCCAGGCTTGCTACCCCATCATTTTTTCAGAGTGGCGGCGCGGATGGCGCGTGTTTCAAGTATCAACCAGCTGTCACTATTAATCGGTCCATCTGGCTGAGCCCGAAATTCATAGCAGATTTCCCAGCACTGCGTAGAGTGCTGGAGCACGCAGCCAGCAAACTTGAGTCCAAGACGAAACTTGTCTTGGACGCTTCAGTGTGGGCGTCGAGAGCTGCTAAACACCCGGGGAATCAGGCTCGTTTCGTTGCGCTTGTGACTGAAGCTGATAAGCTCGCTTCTCCAGGGATCAGCCGTTTAAAGTACGCTCTGACTCCGAAGGAGTGCGTCAGGCTGCTTGGAAAAGCAGATCAGGCTGCGTCGAGGCATGGCATGTGCAAGCGGTAGCTTTCCAGTTGAAGGAGGAGGTTTGAGGGGGAGAACAAGGACGAGGAAGTGAGGAGGAGGAGGAGAAGGAGGATCGCCTTTCCAATTTCGTCGGTGAACTGTTGCCCGCGGCAGCTAATATCTTGTTGTGGATTATCGTGAATAATCCTTGGGCGTGGCGAGTTCAAACTGTGGGGCATGTTTGTAGCGCCTGGTCAGAGAAGACTCCTGACAGGCACTCGCAACCAAAAGCAGCCGCTCCTCATTTTGGTAATCCGACTCCTCATCCACCTTACCGCCCTCATTTTGGTCATCCGACTCCTCATCAACCTACTCCTTTGGATTCGTCATACTCACCCCTCTCCAATTCGTACCCCCGTCCCCCGCCTCCGCAATTCCTGTTGGCAAAACAGCGCTCTGGATGATTAAGACTGATCCTATGAACACTATACACATGTATTCGGGGCCCCTCGCAAAGACCAGAACAACATATGGTGCCCATAGACCTCGCGCATCCCCCTGCAATCCTTTGCAATCCCCTGCAATCCCGCGCAATCAATGTTGCAGATAAACCAGGCGCAGAAAGATATGGTTCAACAAAAACCAGCTCAAAATCATGAAGCATATCAAACTGGCGCAGATGAATAAAACACGTGCAATCCCAGGGCACTCCTCGAAACCTGGCGAAGACCTTCGAGGAGTATTCGTATTGGGTGCTGGCGCGTTCGGATGCAAATCTTGAGTTGGCGCAATCGAGCAGGGTGTTGTTTGGCAACGCCTGTTGCTATCAAGTCGCTCGAAAAATCGGGGACGTGAATGCGTCGTGGCCAATCGATCTGCACGTCCGTAACCATTTGGGCTCAAACCTCACGAGGCCTCAGGAGGCATCACGCGTGGTTCACCATAGCCAGAGTATTCGCATCACACGTATATCTAATGCCGCTGGGGTTCGAGGGTAAAATTTGCCTCAAGATGAAAGCAGAGATTGAGGGCCTCCCGCGTGAGTTTGAGCGGACTTACCGTTTCGACTTGCCTGCCGAGCTCCGCCTGGTCGGGACGCCAACCACGCCCCCCGTCGTCGTCGAATCCCTGGCCCGCGAGAGCCAAAGCTCCGGCGTGACCGCAGCAGGCGCAGGACCATCATCGTCGGCCGCTGGCGCAGCCCCATCGGACAAGAGCTCGGGCGACAAGCCTGACGCGAAGAACTCTGGCGCAGTCCCATCGAACGATCAGCCTGACGCGACGAACTCTGGCGCAGCCGCAGCATGCTCGGCACCATCAGCAGTGGGCCTGGCAACATCGGGCCAGAGCCACGACGGCGCGAAGAGCCCAGTCAGTGGCGCAGCAGCAGCAGCAGCAGCAAGCAGCATGAGCCAGATGACGAAGCAGCCAAGCCCAGAGCAAACCAGAAGCGCCGCAGCAGCACACGACCTTGCCGCACGCACGATGGGCAAGCATGAAGCGACCCCGTGGCTCAAGAAGCTTCGCACTGTGGCTGGTGACAACCCCACCCCGCTGCTGCCGATGGAGCCGCCGCCAACTGCCACGCAGCCCCGGAGCGTGATTCGAGAGAGCATAGACATTGAGGATTCGCCGCCGCCTCCGGACGATACGCAGCCTGGGATGCCCGTGGACGATACGCAGCTTGAGATGCACCCCGAAGATACGCAGGATTTCATGCATGCGCTTCACGCCCTGTATCCCATGCAGCCAGAAAAGGGCCATGACGGCGGCGTTTGAGCGCCGAGGCAATATCTAACTTTTTGTTGGGGCCTGCTTAGGCCGAATGAATGGTGCCCGAGGTCGCTGTCCTATGGTTTTTCAGAGCCTGATATCCCGATCTTGAAGAGCTTGTGGGCGTGAGTTGCGAGAAAGAGAAACACAAAGAAGATGACACCCATGCTGTACAATGATTGTTCCCGTGTTGTCCGTTGAAACTGTGCAGATTGTCGAGACGTCTCCACCTTGGCGCTCTCTTGGGGCTCTCTTGGGGGCTGCTTCCTGGGGCCCTCCTGGACGCTTCTTGGAGGGAGGGAGGGAAGGAGGGAGGAGGGAGAAGAGAGGAGGGAGAAGGGAGGAGGATAGCCAAGCTGTACGAACAGGAGACGTGCAAAGTATTACCATTCGCGTGCCTACGAACAAATGGGTCTAAGTCGCTATCTAATGGCCTTAGGCCGTATGGCGATGGAAAATCATGGGCGTCGGTCGGGTACAAAGGGCCCGTGACCAGAGTCGAACCCCATTTACGCTGCCCACGCTTTCGCGATGCTATTCTGCTATTAGTTGACGAGGTCGACCCCCGGTAAATTGACAAGGTCGACCCCTGATAAAATGAGAAGGTCGCCCCCGAAAAAGTCGACCCCGGGTAAATTGGTAAGGTCGACCCCCGGTAAATTGACACAGTCCACCCCCAGTAAATTGACAAGGTCCACCCCCCGTAAGTCGACGAGGTCGATCCCCGGTAAGTTGACAAAGTCGACCCCTGGTAAATTGACAAAACCCAACCCCGGTAAGTTGACAAGGTCGACCCCCGGTAAGTTGGTAAGTTGACAAGGTCGACCCCGGGTAAAGCGACAAGGTCCACCCCCAGACAAGGTCGACCCCCAGTAACTTGACAACGTCGACCCCCAGTAAGTTTACATGGTCGACCCCTGGTAAGTCAACGAAGTCGACCACTGGTAAGTTGACAACGTCGACCCCCGCTAAGTTGACAAGGTCCAGCCCTGCTAAGTTGACACGGTCGCCCCCCAGTAAGTTGACAAAGTCGAGCCTTGGGGTCCGCCAGCTCGGGGAATACATGCGAAAACAGTGCTTGCACGTAAGCAGATCCCCTAAACGGATGAGAGAGAGAGAGAGATGTGGGGGGAGCAGGGAGGTGAGAGGGGAACGATCTGGTATACTTGAGGTTAGATTGTTTCGATATGGTTGGGGGGGCCCTAGAGACCCCCTTGGCGCTCCGGGAAAGTACTGCCTCATCCTGCTTTTGTTTTTGCTGTCATTCTGCTCTAGTCTTTCTCCACGTTTCCCCTCCTCATTCGCTCTCTTCTGATCCTCCTCCTCCTCCTCCTCCTCATCTCCTCCTCCTCCTCTTCCTCCTCCTCCTCCTCCCTGCTCTCTGCCCCTCATCCCCCCCTCCTCCTCCGATCCATTTTGGATGACTCGACTCTGCCACGCCCAAGGCCTGGCCGTCGTCAGGGCAATCCCGTGGTTTTGTCTGAGACTTCCTCGAACGTTTGGCCTCTCAGGTAGCATGAGTTGCAACGGTTACTCAGATGGAGAGGTACATTCGTCAAAATGGTGCTCGGATCTGTGGCTAGGAATCATTGCCCCATCGTTCGGGGGCTACAGAGCGCTAGCATTTCTGGCAGGACGCGCCTTGCCCCATCGTTCACGGATTTCTGAGCGCTCGGATTTCTGGCAGCACGCGCCCTGCCCCATCGTTCAGGGATTTCTGAGCGCTCGGATCTCTGCTGCATCGTGCCCTGCCCCATCGTTCAGAGATTTCTGAGCGCTCGGATCTTTGCGGCATCGTGCCCTGCCCCATCGTTCAGGAATTTCTGAGCGCTCGGATCTCTGATGTGCGCCTTGCCCCATCGTTCAGGGATTTCTGAGCGCTCGGATCTCTGACGCATGATGCCTTGCCCCATCGTTCAGGGATTTCTGAGCGCTCGGATCTTAGAGTCGTGCCTTGCCCCATCGTTCAGACATTTCTGAGCGCTCGGGAAATTCTTTTGGAATGCCTTTCTATGTCGCTGTGGCTGTGTTAAGGGGTGGGGCAATCGCCCCACCCCTTAACACAGGTCTGAGCGCTCAGATCTGTCTGAACGATGGGGCGGGACCACCTTGGTCGAGGTTGTAAGGGGTGGGGCGGGTGCCCCACCCCTTACAACCTGAAAAAAAACGTCTTGCCCCATCGTTCGGGCGATTCTGAGCGCTCGGACCTGTGTTAAGGGGTGGGGCGACTGCCCCACCCCTTACAACGTGGCGAGTTGGCGGTGTGCACTGGGATGCGAGTTAAGTGGAATTTTCGATTGAGCGTCCACATCTCAGCCCTCTGTGGTCATTTGGCTCAACCCTGCAACGTGCAACTGACTTCATTCACGCCGACTCAGATAGCTGCTTCCGAGATGTCGGGTAAGAGAGCTCTCCCTGCTGCCGCCGAGACTGCGAAGAGATCGAAGCCATCATCCGGAGGCTCGCCAGCGACGAAGTGCACCGACCAGTCGATCTCCTCGGACGTGGCCCTCAGCGGTGACGTGAACAAGGCGTACACTGCCAAGTTCGAGCCGATGCTCTCCAAGGTCATCCACGCGTTTGATGACATCCAGAGGAAAAGCCCTATATCCATCGAGGCAGGAGGCACCATGGATCCGATTACTCAGTCAAGCGTCGCGCTCGCCATGAGTACCGAGAGGGGCGTCGTGAGCGGTGCTGGGAACCTGTTCTGGCACAACATTCGGTGGCGCCCCTCGCCTAACGTGCCGATCAACGAGACGGGTATCACAGAGATCAAGCTGCATTCTTTCAAGACGCCTCCAGCCAAGCTCAATTTCAACCTGCACGTCGCCTTCGCCAATGACATGGAGTTTACTGGCGCGCTTGGCAACCTGCATCGCCTATCCCCGGAAGAACCTGTGCACGCGCTGCTGTGGGGCATCTCAGACGCCATCGACCGCAACGCGAAGCCGAACGAAATGCGAGCCTGGGAGGAGCTGCTACTTAACGTACCTTTCGTCTTCGAGCGTTTCTCCAACACCGACGCGATCGTGAAACGATCTATCGACTTGCGCGAGGAGCTGACTACCCAACTTGACGCAATCAAGAGAACTCCATTTGCCAGATTCCTCGAGATCGTCAATATCAGGGAGGAAATGGAACGCACGAAAGGCAAGGTCACGACGGACATGCTCTTCAATTTCTTCAAGACTGTAAAATTCTCCAACAAGAGCGAGAAGATCTCGAGGAACCTCTTGGATAATATCAATGCGGTATGGAACAAGTGGAAAGCTGACCCATCAACCATGCAGATTGTGCAGGAAGCAAACACGCTCTACGGCAACGATTCGCCCTTCAGTGGCATTCTCCAGATGTACTTGCTCTGCAACAAGGCCGGGAAGGACACGAAGCTCATGAAGTGGGTGTTCGCGAGCGCTTTTGATGCATTTCGCTCCGGGGCAGCGTCGAGAGACGACATGACTGCTCATAAACTTCAAGATGGTAAGCGCGTGGACGTTGTCGACGTGTTCGTGTTCAAAAAGACTCTTCTGGCGGAACTACTCGGGGACGAGCTGCAGAGGCTCCACTTGCCCGTGAATCAGGTCAAGTTGCTGCAGAAACACTACGAATCCCACGACACCTACAGAAGCGCGTGTGGCTTCAACGACCCAGTGGCGGCAAAGTTCGACAAGACGATCAGCTTGGCTTGGCAGACGGAGATGGCCAAGGCCACTCTGAAGTACAGCCAGCTCATCGAGATGACGATCTACTCCTGCCACTTCGACGGGGTGCTTCGCCAATGCCTCAAGAACAGCAAGAGCGCCGAGGACACACTGAGGTATGGGTCTCTTGGGATCGAGATGCAGAAAGTTTACGACGTGATGGAGGCCGAGAAATCCGGACCAGCAGCAGCAGCCCCTGCGGCAACAGAGGATTGTCAATGGCCTGAAGATGTGGTCGAGGGGGATGTGGTCCCAACGGTCCCATTGGCCCTTCAGAGGGCCCTTTTCGAAGAACCATGATTTTCTTCTTTTTTGAGGGAGGCCTTCAAAGGGCCCTCAGGGCAATGCCCTCAGAGCCGCATCTTCGAGGCCATGTAAAACAAGGATGCTGGAGATGACAGCCGCGGTGAAGCTGCTGACGGCGATGCAGATGAGGAGGACGACGGTGGGAACAACTTCGAGGGTGACGAGGAGGCCGACTCGAAGGCGCGGTGGAGAGCATACGCGACACGCCTGGTCAAAATGAGAGTGACATTGATAGTGGTGCCGAACAGCGAGAAACGTTTCATCGACCTCCTTCGAGATGCTGGCATCAATTCGGGCACGTACGAGAAGGACGAGTACCAGGGGATCATCTACAACAGCAAGACTGAGGGCGAGGCAAAGTCCAATCCAGCTACTCGTACTCCGAACCACCGCACGGCTTACATGCAGAAAACGATTTCTTCTTGCCTTCGTGCCATTGCGGGACCGCGCTCCGATGACGATCCGGATCAAGTCAGTGTGGGTCCAGACAGGATGTACTTCTTTTTGGACGCATTCAAGCACGGCCACTCTACTGGGTTCTTGAACTCGTTCTCCATCGACGACAGAAAGCTCGACAAAGATAGCACCATCTACTACATCACCTACGAGTGGTCGTCACTCCAAGCTCGCCGCCTGCGCGTCCACGACGACAGCCCGATCGACACGGTCGAGTTCATGCACGTGGTCACTGAGACTCCTCTCCAACTTCCGCCCAAACAGAGGTTGACCAATGATACGAGCTCCAACCAATGCAATTTCATCGGCCCAGTCGTGACGGAGGACGTGAACGAATCGTGGCAGCTGACCTACTATGACAAGAAGAATCTGCTCGGGGACGCTCGAACACCAAACGGCGGCCCTGCGCCCGGAAAAGCTGAGCCAGCCCGCCGCCACGATGCAAACTTGGAGCTTGTGGCCTACCACGGTAACGGATATCTCTTCTACAGCGAGTTGTTGCACTCTTTCGGCCTGACTTCCATTGTGCACCTGACCCCCCTTGATGACAAGTGCGGACTCGCAGCCATCGCTCACAAGGCATCGTACATCGGCGTATGCTACACCGAGGAGCACGCGACAAGGCTCATGGATCGCCTGATTGACCTGACCTACAACGCCCTTTTCGATCCCAAAATGGAGGGTATCTACGAGCCATCTGCAGTCGCGGACATGACGCCACCAGAGGATGACGACGACAAGCCGAAGCCGAAGACCGACAGGAAGAAGACCACTGATCCGAACGGCAAGGACAATCCGAACACCGCGGAGCCCAAGAAGGAGCCCAAGAAGAGGGCCAAGCGGAAGGCGACGAAGCCCACTGCTGAGGAGGGGGACGCAGCTGCGGCGGCGCTGGAGAGTCTCCTGAGTGGGCTGGCTGACCCTGCTCAGGACGGCGAGCTTGATGATGGGCTCGGGGAGTCGGCGTGAGTGAGATGTTTGCGCAACTGCTGGATATCTTGGGCTTTCGTGCCACCAGCAGTCGTGGCATTTTTGTCCGGGAAGTGTGTTCCGCCTTTCGCGCGAACCAGCGGGGTTTCTGTTCAGTCTGTAACGACTGTATGCTCGCTCGTGCAGGTGCCCGCACGAGACTGCAGGCAACGCATTGCAAATCATCCACATTACATCCTCAGCCACCGCGTTCACTTCCACCTCCCCACCTGTGGCCTCCTTCACCTTCGTCTTCTCCTCTCTCCTTTCGCTCGCCCGCCTCCCAACCGATATCATGCCGTCCTCGTCCTCCCGGGGTGCTCCAGAACCAACCGAGGCGGCGCGATCTGGCCTTGCCTCATCTCGGCGTCGGCGAGGGGAAGGAACGATGGGGATGCTTGACATGTAGGATGATGAACCCCGATAAAAGCGGAGCAATGCAAGAGAAGAAGGTGCAGAACGGCAATATTAAACTGAACATTGCAGATTGGGGGGGCGTCCACGTCAAACCAAACCTGGAGCACCTCAAAACGCCAAAACACATAGGGGAAGTTCAAAACAGCAATGCATGTCAGGAGGGGCCCCGTTTAACCATTGAGGTTGAAACCAACATTAAACGCATCGATCCTCCTTCAAGAGAGGAGGCCATGGAGGAGGGGGAGGAGACGGAGGAGGAGGAGCAGAAGCAGCAGCAACAAGTGGATGAGCCATGTTCTGTGGCTTCGCCCTTTTGGCGTTGGGGAAGTCGCCTGAACGACCAAACAACGGCAAATAATACCGTGTGGAACCTGCGTGCATCTCAGAAGTCTCGGACTGGTTGCCCTAGCAGCTTTCGTATATAGCCGCTTCCCTCAAGCCTGGACCATCTTGAAGTTTTCGTTGGCGGCATGCCTGCCAAATCGGCGCAGCAAAGCCCTCGGGCGCCGAAGGCCAACCCGAAGGCCAGCCCGAAGGCCACCCGGAATGTAGCCCGTTCACGGTCGCCGAGACAGAGACGCATCCGTTTGTTTTCTGACTGTTCGGGCATGTCGTCGATCAGCCACGCCTTCTACGGCCTCGGCCCTCGCGACGACCTGGTGCACATTGGAGCTTGCGACAAAGACGCGACCGCCAAGAAGTTCTGGGTGAACAACTACGGAGAGACTCGCTGGTACGACGAGATCACCGGGCGCAACTATCGGGCCATCATGAACCAACCATTGACACCGAACGTCTACGAGTGCGGCTTCCCGTGTCAGTCCTTCTCCGCTGGAGGGAAAAAGGAAGGCAAAGCCGACCCGCGTGGACGAGTCATCGATGAGGTCTTCCGCGCGCTCGAGGGGATGACGCCAGATCTTTTCATTTTGGAGAACGTCGAGGGCCTGCTGATCCATCATCCCAAAACATTGGCAGCCATCGTGAAACGCTTGCGTGAGCTGAAGTCTGGCTACTACAATGTGCACCTTAAGTTGCTCAACTCATTGGACCACGGGGTGCCCCAGAACAGAAAGCGGCTTTGGTTTGTGGGTATCGCTAAGAGGTGCGACAAGAATACTTTCGCTTGGCCAGACGACATCGGCAGCGTCAATATCGACGACTTCCTGGATCCCGCCGTGAAGGAGGTCGCGAAGAGCATGCCTCCGAAGAGTTCGGCGTTCGCCAGGCAAAGCTTCATGAAACTCATGAAGGATGCCGTTGCTTCGGGGCTGAATCCACTCAAGGATACCCTGGTGATGGACATTGAGTCTTCTAAGCCTGGATGGATGGTCGGTAAGTCTCCTTGCCTGACGCGTTCCAGGGCCGAGGGGCACTGGGTTACGACCCGCGGCCGCAGGCAGACGGTGAACGAGCGGCTCCGTCTGATGGGCATCGACCCCAAGCTGGTGGACAAGATGGACATGACTCCGCACAAGATGGGCCAGTTGATTGGGAATGCTCAGAGTGCCAACGTCTTGGAGCGCATCCTGTTCCAGGCGCTCCCGGCCGCGGGCATCATCCCGCAGAGCGAGCTCAAGGGCCGCTGGGAGTCCAAAGCTGCCGCCTCGAAGACGGTGGCTAGCTTTTCGTAACCATGCGGCTGCAGAGCCGCGAGCCGAGCTATTATACAGCAGCTCGACGTGTCAAGTTTCGCGAGGCTGTGAGCCTCTCTGCTTAGCACGCCCAGGGTCCTCAGACACTCAGAGAAGAGGGATGAGAAAGAGAAGCGGGTGAAGATCTCCTCGTCCTTTCCCAAAAGTGCGAATCTGCTGAGGACCCACGCGCTGGCGATCATGTTTGGGGTCCACGTTTGCTTCAAAGCTGGCACGCTGTTTGGGATCCGCCCTCTGAGGAGGAAAGAAAGAGATGACAAGGGGGGCAGCGAGAGAGGAGGGAGATGGGGAGAAGGATGGAGGATGGAGAAGGGAGGCAATGAGGAAGGAGGGAGAGCCACGGCCCCTTTTCGGACGCAATGAGGACTCGTCACTGCTGCTAGGCGTGGCTAAGCGGTAGATTTCTAAGTTCTGGGGGGAAAGCGATGCCGATATCGCTATCACGTCGCCTATATGGCCTTCCCGGGCATACTAGTTTCCCCTCGCTGCCACGGCTGGAGTCCCCTTTGAGTTCTGAGTTATGGTCCGAACGCACCCCAGGAGAGATTTGATGGATAGCGATATCAGATGTCGGCACTATTGCGTCCCTTAAGATGTCTCGTCTTGCTTTGCTACCCCCCCCCAGACAGTAGCATCCTACCTCTTCCCCCGACGTACATCACACTCTGATGCCTCCGTCACCCATTCATCATTTTGCCGAAATCACTAGGCCCTGTTGGGGGTCCTCCTTCTCCTCCTCACTTCTCCCCCAAATGCGATCAGACTCATTTGTCATTTCTCCTCTCCTCTCCTCCTCACTTCTCATCCTCCTCTCCTCCTCACTTCTCGAAACTACCACACGACATCAGAAACGAAAAAGACACATTCCTCCACCTGCTGCCATTTCGGATCGTGAAACACTTCAGGATTTCGGTGAAACCCTCCTCGTTCTTCCGGGCCAGTCCTGTCCGTATCCGCCATGCCGCCCAAACTGGTGTTGCCAAATCCACAATTCTTGGCGAGGGTGCAGCCGCCGATGAGGCGTCGCTTCAAGAGGATGTTTCGCGATCTCATCTTCTATCCAGCTGCCTTCGGCGAATCCCGCCACTGTGCCAGTGCGGTTTTCTCAGCGGTCTTTGCAAGGTTTCAGGTGACGTAGACCTTCTCAACCGCCAGCCCAGCCCGTCTTCGGGAAGGGATTCCTTGTGGGCTGGAGGTTGAGGAGGTCAGTCGTCCCCACAAGGGGAATCGCCAGAGCTGCTGTCCTTCCCCCCAGGGAAAAACAAGACAATTACAAGACCGCTGCTAGAGGGACCTAATAATACAAATATCTGATATTGCCTGGACCCCCGGCTTTGGAGGGCTTGTGAGCGTGGGTTGCGAGAAAACGAAACACAAAAAAGAAGACACCCGTAGGCCACAATGTGATTGTTCCCGTGTTGTCCGTTGACACTGTAGATTTGTCCGGGTGTCTCCGACCACCTTGGCGCTCTCTTGGGCAGTCTTGGGTCTCGCTTGGGGACCTCTGGGGTCTTCCTGGGACCCTCATGCTCGCTTCTTGGAGGAAGGGAGGGAGGGAGGGAGGGAGAAGAGAGGGAGGGAGAAGAGAGGAGGGAGAAGGAGGAGCAGAGTCAGAAATGTACAAACAGGACACGTGCAAAATATTACCACTCGCGTGTCCAACGACATGTTTGTCCAAATGATGGGTTAAGTTACTATCTAGTGGCCTTAGGTCGCGGGGATCGCAAGCAGGGTCGGCGTCCTTATGACAAGTCATGGGGGTCGGATGAGTATACAGGGCCCGGGGCCAGAGTCGGTCCCCATTTACGCTGCCCACGCTTTCGCGGTACAATTCTCATTTTTAAAGTTGACAATGTCGACCCAATGTAAAATGACAAGGCCAAGCAATGGACCGAAGATTTCGAAATCGCATTTTCTGAAAATATATCAGGCGAAGCACTGATTCTTAGCAGAAGGCGTCTTAAGATAAGACTCCCACCTTCGCGATTTGGCGAGGATGTCTCGGCGAAACGCCCATCCCGGAGGGAAACAAGAAACCCTGCCAGACAGCGCCTGGCATTCTTGTACGCCTCAACGTGCCAGGGAGCACGTGGCGGTCAAGCATCGGGCTGCGCTGTACAAGTCCCGTCTGACGAAGCTTCGCACGGTGCTGAACCGAATCGAAGATATGGCCACTGATGCGCTCGCAGAAGACGACCGCATCGGCCAGCAGCACGCGATTGTGCTTAACCAGATCGCGAACATCCCAGTGCAGTGAGCTGGGGCCTGGTGTTCTCCCCTTTTCTAAGCTCTTTCATAATTTCATCAATGTCAATACTTCCTTTGCCCTCTCTCTCCCTCTCTGTGTCGAAGCTGTGCTTACCGTCCTTAGCAGCTCTGCAAAGAAACGCAGAAACAACGCTAATTACTCCAGGGCTGCCGCCTGCGCCTCCGACGGCCCGGGGGGTGCTGCCTATTCCGCCGATGTTGGGTGTTGCTTTGGGGCCTCTCTTGGAGCCATCACTGGGCGTTCGTGGGATGTTCTTTGCGTGTTTTTGGTTGTCGGGTGCACCCGTCCTTGATGATCCCTGTAACATGGCAACTTTGAGCTATGAAGGACACCCAGTGCGCGTGGCGCACCAATGGTTCCCCGTGGTCGTTTGCCCCTCCATTTGAAGTTCCTGTTCTCCTCACGTCAAGCAGAACTCGTTGTCCCCCAGGCGCATCATCATCACCATCATCACCGCCATCACCACTGTCACCGAGATCGCAATCACCGTCGTGACGGCAATCTACAGCATGCATACCCATCGTCATACCCGACATCATATGAATAAAAATCCGTACTCATCATGACACCCACCTTCACCATCAACACAGCTTCAAAATCATCACCATTATCATCCCCATCATCATCATCATCATCCATCATCCATCATCATCATCACAATA